TTCACACCTGAGCCTCAACTCTCGCGGCCCGGTACCAAACGACTCACGGACCGGTACCGGTCCGAGGCCCGGGGGTTGGGGACCGCTGTCTTAGAATACATTTAGTTGTATCTGTGTTAAGGATCACCTTGTTTTATCCCCCCTCTCCATTTCGCCAAGAAACGCGTCTAAAGTTTATTTATACATAAGCATGACGCCAGCAGGCATAAACCCCGTGGACACTGCAGCGACGCAGAGCGATTTATCCAGTATGTGATTGGTGAACTCTGGCAGTTCTTTCAGCTCATATCCGGTTTCTATATTATTGCGGGTCAATACAACTATTCATACCACCAGAAAACTCCCCACAGTCCGCCACTGAGCGCAGGGATAATTACTACACTCGTTTTATTTGGCGATAACAGAGGCGGAATTGCACAAAACCATCCTGCGAGGACCAAAAACACGATGAGAAACCATTATCCCGCTAAATTGTGCTTTTATATTAGACAACACTGTTGTAAGCAGCAGTAGCTGTGAACAGTTCACCAACAACAAGTTAGTTTATACAGCTTCGTGTGGTTTTAAATGATGCCTAACAAAGAAATAGAATATTTTCATACAGCAGAGAAACGTGACGTCATGTTCTGTTCGAAACGAGAAGCCACAAAACGGAGCCGCGAAAACACCTCGAAAGATTTTAAGTTGTCTGGTTGTTGTACACAGAGTTTTATTAGCCTTCCTTTTATTAAACCACTATCAGTTAAGAAAAGAGACGCGCGCAGAAAACCCGCCCTCCACCGAGATGGTAAACACTCAAACACTCCACTCACTAACATATAACTACTTTTATTAAGTATAACAAAGCAGCTTCGGATGATATCAGTGCAGTGATGAGGGGAGGCTCACAAGACAGACCTGCTAAAAGTGACCTTAAATCAAACATCAGATTCAAACATGCATAACAGAATGCATCCGTGTCGCACTGTACTGTGCTACTTTGCAGTTTTTGCTTTAAATTGGTCATTTTGCATCTTTTTAAATTTTAACTGCTTGCAAATCGGCCGCACGTTTGAAAATAGCTTGTGTTCATGCATGGGGTTTGATCTCAGAGGGCATTTTTACATAACTTGGGACTTTAGGACTGCACCCTGTGCATGCCAATCTGGTCCAATCTTGGAAACTAAGCATTAGACTGATTTCACAGTTTTAAGCTCACATACACAAAAATCTATGTATCAAAATAAAAATGGGCCTCTTTATTCACCCTAAAGTCAGAGCTGTGCTTAGAAGAAAATAAAACTGCACCAAAATAAACCTGCTTTTTTTAAATTTTTTTCTTACATGGTGCCACATTCCTGTTAATTAAAACATCTTTGCATACAAATAAGGTGTGTAGTCAGGTGACTTTAGCTTGTCTCATTGAAGAAAAATATAAAGTTTTTAACTCCATTCATTGCACCTGCATAATGGACATGACTAAAACTCGTTGCAAAGGACTCCGAAAAAATTCATGGATGTTTAACATTTCAATATTGTACACCGATTGTGTGTGCTAATGGAAAACTAAAGTGAAGTTTGAAGGGTTGCAGTTTTAAAACACGACAATAAAGGTGGTGCACAAAAGCAAATGTAAAAGTGACTTCCACAGAGCCATTTAACAGTAGAAGGAGGGCTGGGGGTGCCAGAACAGCACAGAGAGGCAACACATGCCTAATACAAGAATAAAATACTCTGTAAAGTTACTTTGTAAAAAGCAAAATTCCTGCGTTTAAAAAAAATCTTGCTTTAAGTAAAAACTTAAAAAATATTATCAGAGAAATAAAACAAGCCTGATTTTATTTATCCCAAAGGTTGGGAAACTACTGTCTTGATATTGTACAGATACAATTACAGATAATTACAGACACCAAAACATGAAAACCAATGTTGCTCAGTAAAGATAAAAAAACATATGAAGTTAAAATCTAAATATAGTATAATAAGGTGTAATTTGGTGGTAAAGGTTTTCTTTAAGTGTCCTTGTGGGAGTATAGTGAAAAAAATGATGTAAGAAGATTTAAAATAAGTTAAAAACTGCAGTAGATGTTGTTAGGCAGTCATCTTTGTAGCAACATCCTTGGTAGTATTTGTGATTTGTAATTTATGTTTCTTTGAAGACACAAAGTGGGACGAAAAGACTGTCACTGAGCTGGAGTAAACTCCTGAGCAGGATACAAAAAGTAAGGAAAACACAAGAGGCACAAAATGTAATTAATATGATGCAACTTCTGCTAAGTTATATATATATTTTGTATACATATGTAAACGAAAACCTGAGTGAAAGAGCCTGTCATCTCCTCTATCCAACAGGCTATAACCAACCTAACTAGAAGGACCTACACATGGCTGGATAAACACATTAACCAAAACAGGACGAGGAACTCTGACAGACGACAATACAAAGAAATGACCAAACAGTTCAAGACTACCCTAAAAACATGCTACAAGCATGACAAAGTCTCCAAAAAGGAGATGAGGACGGCCAAGAAGCAGTGGAAGGAGGCCATGAAGAAAGTAAAAAAGGAGGACAAAAGGAGGGAAAAGCTATGGAGATAAGAAATCTCTGCGTTGGAGCTCAATCAATAACAATAAGAAAACAGAAAATAGGAGAATGGAGAGGGAGATACCAGAAAGTACAGAATAAACTTTTGAATAAAAATACTTGGAAACAGAAGATTGTTGACAACGAGCAGATGACTGAAGCTGCGCGGTGCTCATTTCAGAAGAAAAGACTTAAGGCGGACTTTGTGGACAGAAACTAAAGCTCTGCTGAGCCTCAGCTGTGTGTTTGTTCAGTCTGCCAGTGACTCAACTCCCATCTGGAGCGAACAGATATGAAAAGGCCTGAATGTTCTTCAGTGAGAGAAACGATCCAGAATGCAGATATTTTAAGCCGCAGGAGTCTCTGTCTGTTCGGGCTTTTGAAAGAAAGGACGACTGCAGGAATCCTGATGCTCCAAAATGACAGTGGTGACGTGAAGTGGCACCAGAAACGCACAGCAGGTTCATACTCAACGCCGCATCCATCTCAAGCTACCAGAAGCAGCCATCGCTGTCTCTGTTTTCATCAAAATAAATTCTGTACTTGATTACTTTAAGAGAAGAGACATTTTCTTTAAGTTGAGCTGAGCAAAAAAAAGAGCAATAGAGGCAAAAATATCTCAGTTATAGATTTCTATAATTCAGAAAGATCACAGCTGTCACTGGATACTGGTTACACATGTCACACCATCTGTTTGTTAACCAAGCTTTCTCTTAACAACTTCTACTCTGAAACCTATACTTTCTCTTTATTATTGATTCATAGTGGCTGTGTGAGACTTTAGGAAATAACTTATTAACTATGAAAAAAGAGGGCTAGTGTACCTTAATCCTGTATTAGAAACAGGCCATGAAAATGCAGAGTGCTAAACTTTCTCTTAAAGCTAGCAATCGTGGTTAGCGAGGTGCATCCATACAGAGAATTACCTTCTTCTACAGTCTGTACCACGCAGCAAGATATGCTATTTATCAGATAGCGACACTGAAAATACTCCAAAAGGCACAAACACAGTTCAGAGGTTCAATTCAGCGACTCAGATAAGCAGAGATTAAGCCTACGAGATATCAATGGGCTACAGCCGCCCATATCAGCAGCACATCTGTCAATCAAAACAGCCACATTTCAACTATAGACCAAACTCTAAATGGGTTATTTAAAAAAAATATCCTTGTACTGTTTTTATTTAAAAAGCACTGTTGCCGCACAGCAAGAAGGTCCTGAGTTCAAGTCCACCATCAGGTCTTTCTGTGTGGAGTTTGCATGTTCTCCCCGTGTTTG